CAGATTTGGTGACAAAAGGGTGATAAGAAATTTCATTTTTTGTGAAGCCTTTCTTTCAACTCTGTCCCCCATTGAAAATTTTCATGAATTTAGCAAAAAATAGTACGATTGTCTTTTCAAAAAGTATATCATGATAGTATTTGGGATTCAAACAGTATGCTTGCAGCTCATCACCTTTTGATGCACACTTTTAAGGGCGTACAGCACACGCCTACCATCAAATTTTGTCAAACTTGACACACCATGTTTGTTCATTGTTCTGCTCATTTTTTCTAATTTTTGTACATTGAGCAGAGGCACGATGCATATCAACCGTCCGTTCTTGACATCAGAGAATTGAGAACCTACCAACATATTGTCTGAAGCCCAAATGCTATCATAGTATACAGACTTACTTTCCATTGGGCAGTCTCTATCCATTATATATTTAATTTTTTTGAGGATAAGGGGTTTTCTTGTCCTTTACTCAAAAAAGACCAAAGACTTTGTTTTTTCTGCAATCTTCTTTTTTTAAAATTGGAAGGAATCCTAATCCTATTACTTTTTCACTCTCCACTATCCTTTCATGGGTCCCTTTGCACTAAAATTTATCGTTTATGATATATTATCAATATGATCTTAATCGTACGGTTGAGAATGAGTTATCAATAGTATTGTAGATTTAATTGTGACCTAAAACTATAAATAATATTAGTCTACGATATGGTTGGCTGCTCACTGCTAGTCATTTGATTAAAATCAGATTGCTATTTATCACCAACCCTATATTATATATAAAAAAAAAAACATACAATAAGGCTATTTATATTTGATACATAAGGTCACAATTAATCTTGGGAGTTTCATTTGTTTCACTGATCAAAGTGAAAAAAAAAAGTTTTCTTCCAACTTGTAACAAACCCAAGTTCTCAAATTTGACTTATGATAGTTATAGGTATTTCTTTTGACCTTTTTGGGCTAAAGATAAATGATCTTAAAGTATAGATTCCATATATTATTTTTATGGGAAAATTACATATATATCCGTTATCGTTTTCATTATTACGGTTCCACCGAATAGTTTATGTTATTACGATCATGTTCGTTTTTTTCATATCAAAATGAAAATTTTTTAAAAAAAGAAGATAATTTTACCCTTTTTCGGTTGTTGAACAACCGAATTCAAAGTATTTTTGGTTTTCAATTTTGATTTTTGAATAACCGAACATTTAAATTTTCGGTTCTTCAAAAACCAAAATTTCTTTTCTCTATCTTGTGGGTTTGCTTATCCTCTCTCTACATCTCTCTCTACAGAACATGGGTAACAATGTTTTTTTAAAAAAAACACTCTCTCCTTCACCAACCATCTTTTTTTTGGGTAAGTTCATATTCTTTTATATTTTTTCTAAATTTTGAGGCTCAAACTAACTGATTCCCTGATTTTATCGGATAACTATGACTTCAAAGAGATAGAGAGAGAATACGCCACAAGATTTCTCTTAATCTTCTAATCTCATAATCCCCAATATTTTTTCCGAATTTAGGGATTCAAACTAGTTGTTCTCTTTTGATTTTATCGAATAACTATTACGTCGGTCAAGAGAGAGAAAATCGAAATTTTAAAATTTTCTGCTCTTCAACAATCGAAAATTTTAAATTGATGTAATTTTTGTTTTTGAACAATTGAAAATATTTTGAATTTGGTTGTTCAACAATAAAAAAAGGGTAAACCCATTTTTTTCTTAAATTTCATTTTTAACATGAAAAAAACAAACACAGTGGTAATAACGAACACTATTCGGAAGAACCGTAATAATGAAAACTATAACATATATGTATGTAATTTTCCTTATTTTCATACATAAATTGTATGGATAGTAGGGATTAACATAAAAATATTTTCTATATATCACAATACATACAATTTAAAGGTAACTAAATGATACAATCGTTGAAGCTTGATTGAAAAACTAAAAGTGTGGCATCAACCAATGTTATGGATTGCATACCATTTATATTTTTTAGACTATAATTTATACTTCGACATGATTATTGACTGATGGCAATCAATATTAATTTAGAAAAATTTCGTGGGAAATGCAGTCCGTATCAAAGCTTTGGAAATAAATGCAATAATAAAATGGTTGACAACGGACCTAAATTCCCATCAGACGTCTGCTTTTCGTAATAAAAGCAATTCATAAAAGCACTCATTGGATTTGAGTGGAACTTTCTCTCTCTAAAACACTTGAAACCAATACACCAAATGGGAAAACATATAAGAGTTTCTCTCTCTAAAATCACTAAGAAGCTATTCCAAATCTCTCGTTTATGAGAAAAAAACCTTCCTTTGGGAGCATACCTCACATTTACTCGCTTTGGCAAAACACATAAGTGGGAGTAGTGTTAAAAAAACCAGTGATCTAAATCGGAACCCGCCTATCCAACTCATAAAACCAGTGATATAAATCGGAACTAGCCGATCCAATTCAAAAACCGGTGGGGCCGGTGTGGTTACTGCAAATATCAAGAACCGGTCGGTTCCTGTTAGGAAATGGCCGGTTCTCTACTAGAACTGGCTTACCAACTTTTAATTTTATTTTTTTTCAATTTTTTTAATTTTTTATTGGCTGGTTCATTATTCCGGATCATCGATCTAGAACGCCTATTTGCTGATCTAAACCAATTTTCTGAATGGTCGATCTAGGTAACCGATCTTTTTTTTTTTCAAAAAAAAAAAACCTTGCTTGGGAAATTTTTATTTTTGAAATTTTCATATCCATCTAATTATAACTAGATGATTATTTTTTAAAAAAAATATGGATTTTGAGTTTGTGAACATCTAGATCATTTTTTCAAAAATTGAGATAGTTTTTCTGTCTAAAACTTTCAGGTAGTTTTTTTCTCTAAAATTTGAAGATACTCTCTCTTTAAGATTTAAAATTTGAGATAACATCTCTCTCTAATAATTTTTAAGTAGTTTTTCTCTTTAAAAGTTGAATATACTTTCTCGCCCTGAAGCTTCAATTTTGATGTAATTTTACTTTTAAAAAACTTTGAGATAGTTTATCTCTCTAAAACTTTCTAGGTCCTTTGTGAACTGGAACTTAAAATGTGAGATACTTTCCATCACTAAAAGTTCTGAAATAATTTCTCTTTAAAAAATTTTAAGTACTTTCTCTATCTCAAATTTAATATACCCTTCTATCTAAAATTTTAACGAAAAAGTTTACATAAGGTTGCAACCTTATACTATTGAAATAAAGTGCACCTCAAAAAACTTATAAAGAAGAGTGTTCTGGCATTGGAGAATCCTCCAAGTGATCATCTCGATATTGAGATGAATGGACATAAAGGAAATAAGAATTCTAAGTCCAAAAGGGAATTCTAAAAATTCAGTATAAGAAGGCAACCTTATACAAACCTCACCCAAATTTTAAGATACCTATCTCCCTAAAATTTAAAACTTGATATATTTTATCACTAAATTTTTTTTGAGATAGTTTTATCCTCTAAATTTTTTTCAAATAATTTCTCTCCTTAAAGTTATAAAATACTTGTTCTCTCTGACAATGAAAATTTTAGATAATTTCTCCCACTAACTTATGGGGTGTTTTGGTATAGTTAATTGTATTTGATAAAGTGGGCAATCTTCCTCAAAAAAAAAAAAAAGTGGAAATGCGGTTGTATTCTCACATGAATGTGTTATAATTTATCGTAAAAATGTTTACCAAGAAAGAAATTTTCATATATATTTATCTCCAAACGTGCGTAACACAACTTTATATAAAATTATTTTCAAACCTACCACCTAGAAATCATACATGGAATCTTTCTCTCTCTAGAAAACGAAACCAAGGTATTTTCCAGGTTTTCTCTCTCTAGAAAACGAAACCAAGGTATTTTCGAGGTTTTCTCTCTCTAAAAACTCGTTGGTTGAAGTTCGTTTTGGTTGCGGTTTGCTTCGGACATGGACACACAATGAGAGTGAGAGAGAGATATGGGGTCCATTTCGCTTTCTCCTCGAGTATCTTCGAAGAATTCAGCCCCCCCCCC